TTGTGGTTTAGAGGTATTCACTCACAGTTTGAGGAGGTGTGTCGTCAAATTAAATTCACCAAAGAACGTGCCCGGGGCTATATTTATTGGTGAAGCTAAATGTAAACGGTTAGTGAAAGTAAGTCTGTAAACTTGGAATCGGTTTGTTCCGAACACCTACGTTTTATGTTACCATACATCTTTTATGGGAGGTCGTCGGTTGGGGCGGCAAAAATTCGCAGAGAAAGTCGGTTTCCGGTGCCGAGGCAAGGGAGAATGGTTCGTAGCGGCCACGCGGTAGACAGCACTTACGACACTAAAAAAGACCTGTTACAATTTGGAAGACGACATTACAAAGGTCGTGTCGCAAAAATCAAAGTTACGGGCAACAAGGTAAAAAAGTCACTTTGGTACAGTTCGTCAAGGAGACATTACAGTTCGAATGACAAACTGGCGGGCCTATTTCTAATCATTAAACACCGCACAGTAACTGTAGGGTTCGAAAAGCAGTAACGTTCCGACTGTTTGAGTCGGCCTACTGACAATACAGGAATTCTCATTACGTTACAAGAGACTTTACAGACTACGGGAGGGATCGGATGTGATTCTTAGGGCTGTCAACGTAAAAAAACCGCGTAACAAGGTCCAAAAAAAGAGTCCTTTGTGCAACTTGTTCCGGTCGGTCATACGGTCAGGAAGTGGTAAGAGGTAGTCATATTGACCGAAGTAGAAAAAGTAGTTCTAGTCAAGTACACACTAAAACATCCTACGGAGACAGCGAGAACAGTGAGCATAATCACACCTTTTTCAAAAAAAACATCAGATGGCTGTCTAAAGGACGTATGCTTGCACATTTAATGGACTTGATTGAACCCCTGAAAGCCTTCATTGTCGGCCAAGGGGAGACTTCCCGATTTTCCTTTTTGGATGATAAAGAGTGGGTGCTGTCTGTTGCGTTCCTGTGTGACATTACGCAGCACTTGAACGAACTTAATCTCAAGATGCAGGGAAGAAACAAGACCGTGTATGAGCTCTACACGGCTGTCAAAGTATTTTCTGACAAACTGGATGTACTCGACCAAAGTGTCCGTGGTTCTGATTACCGTTTCTTCCCCACCGTGCAGAAAGTGATGGCGAGGCATGCAGACGCTCTCCTGACCTGTCAATCTCAATTCTGTGAGGTGCTAACTGAGCTCAAGCAAAACTACACATCCAGATTCCACGACTTCAAGGACCATAGCAATATTTTCTACTTGTGAAAAACCCATTCCTGATTGAAGTCAATGAAATGAAGCAAATAAGCGACCAGCTCGGACTTGTGCAGCTTCAAATGGAGTTCGTGGAGTTAAAGAGCTCAGATGAACTTAAGCGTCAATTTCGGATTACAGATGTCGTGGACTTTTGGAAACTGTGGGGCATCTACCAAATATCTCCAGACTGGCAAGAGGCATCATCTCAATGTTTCCGTCCACATACCGGTGTGAAGCAGCATTCTCTGCGCTCACAAAAATAAAATGTCGCAACCGAAACAGATTGAGTCTGCAGCACACAACAGAGGCCCTCCGGATCGCCGTTTCCAGCGCAGAGCCCGACTTCAAATCACTTGTGCGGCAGAAGGAGTGTCAGAAATCACATTGAGTGTGAAGTAAGGTCCACATTACTCTTCTGACAACCCCTGCTGTGTATAATCTGCTGTTATATGGACTGTGATTATCAGTAAACATGCTGTCTGTTATCTGTTGTTTTGTGTGTTTTGTGGTTGCAGTGAAAATAAGAAATCACAGTTATTGCACTGTACATTATGCTTTTCATTCTTAAGTAACATATTACTATTATCCATATTCTCAAATGCATAAAGGTTTCAGGGAGGAAAGGAGCGTTTTTGGATTGTGGCTCTTGCAAAAATATTTTTTCGTCAATGTGGCTCCTGATTAGGACAAGGTTGAGTACCACTGCTCTACACCATGTTTAAAATACTTTATTAAACATTAACATCATCCTATTGTTATTGCCCGTTGCAGCCAGCAGAGGGGGCTCACACTGACCTCCTGCTCTGCTATCTGCACAGTGTTGTCACCGCTGTCCCCTGACAGCCGGCTGGGGGGCGGGGTCTGAATCCCCCTCATCAGTTTCTGCTCGGCGTCGTTCAGCCGGAGGGTGATGTTCTGCAGCTCCGACAGGTAGGACCGAGAGACCGACTCGTCCTTCTCCACTGAGGGAGAGAAGAGAAGAAGTTAATTAGAGTTCATTTGGGCATGAGTAGACACACTGCAGCCATTTGCTTTAACAAATACCAGAGTAAAGTATGTTATACGTGCACTGAACTTGAGTAAATGTATGCATTAGTCTCACCGGTCTCCATGTTGAGCAGCAGGTCCTGGCAGTGTGTCTGGGCCTGCTGGACCTCCTTCTCCAGCTCTCGTCTTTCTCCTGCCGTGAACAAGATGCTCTCTTTGCTGTCAGACAGGAAGTCTGACATCTGGGACTCCAGGTGATCCAGGACCTGCTGCCGCTCTGAAGGAGACTGACAACGCACCTGACAGGCGAAACACAGAGGGATAACGTGAGTAACAAGGACATTAGAATTGGAGAAAAGACAACAAAACCACAGGGTAAAGGATCCTCACCGTGTCCAGGTTCCATCCGGAGACGGTCCGGATGTCTTTGAGCAGGTAGTGCCAGGACACCACGCTCTTCATGTTCACATGCAGCTGATGCCACAGAGACATGACCTTCTGGTACAGCTGCTCTGCCCTACACACACAAACACACACACACCAGGTTTGAGACATTTTCAGTTTTTGATTCTAAATTGAGATGAAAACTGTTCTGAAAAAGGGACTTACTGTACAAATGACCAGCTAAACACTCTGTTCTATGTGAAAAGGGCCTGGAGTCATACTTTATGAAAGCATCTGTGGTCAGTTTTAGATTGAAAATTACATTTTTGTTGCTGAGTCCTGAGTTTTTGTTTTAATGTACTTATTTTGTTGAGTCTGTGTTTTGTACCGTCTCTTGTGTATTTCTTGTTGAGTTTTATATATATATATTTTTAAAGGCCCATCTGGGGACTGGATTTGCACATTTAAATGGCTAATGCTGTACAGTCAATGCTACAGTGTGTGGCTTTTTGTATAAACTGGCCTCGAGTGGTTTGGTGTTTTGTGCGTTTTAAAGGTCTGTTATCGGTTATCTTGTTCTTTGAAGGTTGCTTTACTAAATAAACGTTATAATTACTTAGTTGCTACATACCTGTTCCTGTACAAAACACATTATATAAATAAACTCATCTTAAGCCATTTGTTGACAAAATGAAACCACGTAAATGATTTCAAACTGCCCAGGTTATTTAGTTTTCTTTGTATTTTTTAGGGAAATGGTTGATTATTTTACCTGAAAACACTTTTTTATTTTTGGAGGTAATGTGAATGGCACGAAGGAACATGATCCCTACCATTTAATTTTGTTCCCCATGAAATCCTTTTAGCTACTGACCAAAACCATCCGTAACCCATCCCCAATCTACTTCCACAACAACCCTTTGATGTGCTCCATGTTCTGCTTCGCGTTGTGTCTCACCTGCTGGCTGTGTCCATGGCCTCCTGGTTGGGAGGTGGGACGGTGAAACACACCGAGGGGACCATGGCCTCGTTCCCCGTCGTACTGATCACCTTCCACTTGGTCCTCTGGGAGTTGTCCTCCAGCACACACTCCTCTCCCCGGGTTATTGTGATCTGAGAGGAGGAAGGGGTTCAGGATGGATAGAAACAGGAAAGAGAGAGGGATAGATAAACGAAGAGGGATGGAGGGATGGAGGTAATGGAATGACGGATGTTAGGAGTAAAGAGGAACAAATGGAGAGCATGAATTTGAAAGATTGTAAAATATTGATGGTTTGAAAGAATGATGACGGAGGTAAGACGACAACATGGATGGAGGAGAGGTGAAATTAAAAGGAGGAGAAGAGAGAAGAGAAGTGAAAACATGAAAACCAAAAAGCTGGTAGCAACAAACTCATAATGCAACACAAAATGCAACCATTCATGAATTTCATGAAGTTAGCAGAAGCCCAAAAATGATATGACAAAGAGACCTTTGACCCGTGTGGAGCGAAAGCTTCTTCAAAACTCTTAGGTGAAAGCTTTTATTTTGAAATATTCTTCAAACTGAGGTTTAATGATCTCTGGGCTGGGTTTCATAAAGTCACCAACAAGGGAGGACACATGACTGAAACCCAGCCCAGGGCACAAACAAAGAGTTTGGGATTGGAATTGAAGTCTTTCATATAGGCAAGGCAAAGCAATTATTGTGGGGAGAGTTTAAGGGACACACAGGGAGGCTACAGCTGTACTGCCTCCCACCCACCACCCTCTCTCACCCCTTACCTGCACACACACACAGCATCGATACATCAATAATGCAAAGCTAGGCACACACAGGAAATACATGGAATGTACATTGAAGCACAAAGCTGTGACTTGTTACTGTCTGACTGACGGAATGAGCCTCAAAGGCACGTTTTAATTCAGTTCAGCTCACTGATGCCACCTGCCCTTATCACTGATGACAGTCCTGTGACTGGGCGTCAACTGATCAACTCTCACCTTTCGTGCTGTCAGTATGAGAGTATTAGTATGTCCAAGAGGAGGGTACGCAAGTAGAGGACACACACAAAGATGAAACAATGTTTTTGTGTCTGCCTCCTATCTCTTAAGTCTCATTTCCTTAGTATTTTATATATTTTGATTCATTGCAATGCATTCAAATGCTCATATGATACTCTTTAACATGACGGAAACATTTTAAGTACAGTTTATTAAATGCAGAAAGCCAAACAAAACATACTGCATTCTCTTTCAATATGCTATGCAAGCTACTGTAGCATGCTTTTCTGGCAATTCTGACCCACAATTCTGTGCACAAGCGCAGACAGATTGTGACGATTGTGTTCCAAATGTCAGACTTTTTCAGTTGACTTTAAAGGACACGCTAAAGATTTCATGTGGATACAGAGCAAAAGGGGTTAAATCGTAATGTCATGAGAAAGTAGTATGCATATTGCGTGTAATAGTACATACTCTTTGAGGCAGCTGCAGTACGCACTTAAGTAAAGAAGAAAAAGTGTTTTTTTTAATTGTTGTTTGAAGGTAAAAAAAAAAATCCATGAATGACAGCTTCAAGGACACCTAAATATATAATATTCCCATACACCTAAAAGCAGGTGTCAAACTCACAGTGACCTCATGTCACATTACTGACGGCTCAACTTGACATCAGCTGATAAGAGAGGAGCATCAGGGCAGTGCGGTGTGTGAGCAGTGTTAATCGGAGGTGAGAGAGGGAGAATAGAGGCAGCTATACCTGAACGTTTGTCTTGTCAGCCCAGCCGACAGACGAGAGGATGAGGAGGAGGAGGGAGTGAGGTAGGAAAGGTAAAACAAGGTACATGAGGGAATGGAGAGAGAGGAGACACAGGAAAGTGAAAGAGAGAAAGATTACTTTGTGCAAACTGCTTGTCTTTAGCAGAACTTTCAGCTCTGTTGCATCATCCATTTTAAGATCAGTGGTGCAGGACCAAACCCCCTGTCCTTCACCTGGATACAACACCTCACATACAGTATGCTCCAATTAACTAATTGACCCGGAGGACTCCAGCTATAAATAGCAGCATAAGGAGTGTAGCATGTCCATGTTTGCTGGGTGCTGCTTTTCAAGGAGTCCGCAAAGGGGATGAGACAGATTTATAATTCATCGCATTTTAGATTCCCTGAGGGCATCACAGCTGAGAGTGAGAGGCTGGTCTATGTGTGGTATGTAGAAAGAATCATTGCACAACTTCAGTTTTCTCATCGTGTATCATCTTTTTAGCTTACATGTGGCTATTTTTGGCTTTTCACTAAGATTCAGTCGTTTTGTTTTTTTCAAAAGCCAGAGAACATTTATTGTGAAGACTCAATTAAATCTGGATTATAACCATTAAGCCCCTTTAGATTGCAAAGTGAGCACTGGTCTTTTTACTCGCCAGTTCAAATGGAGTGAAAACTATTTTCAAAAAAACATTGCTGTAGTCTTTTCATTAATATGGACCCCCTAGGCTGAGAAAATAATATGTGTAGAGGTGCTCATTAATCTGACGACAAGGAAAAAAGTAAATGTCACAGCATGAAGGAAGGAGCTAAAATAGAACAGTTATAAAGTGGATGTGGAAGGGGGCTCGGAGAGGAGGTGCAGGGTGGGTAATGCAGGTTAAAACAACAGAGTGGGTGGAGTAAATGGGGAGTTGCTTTTTATATACGCAGTTTGTCTCAACACTTCCTGGGAGAAAAGGGAAATCAAGCTTCTACGATTTGTTTTGGGTTATCAGTATGACAAACGTACAGCAACTAAAACACACGCACATGTGGATGAGGTGTAATATCTGGAGGCTGCCATACCTCTATCTGCCTGTAGTCGCAGACGGCTCTGATAGGGGTCGTGGCCCCCAGGGTGCTCTCTGCGTTGCGGGGCCGGAGCTGCACCAGGGTCTTGGCGCGGCCCACCAGGCTGGCCACCGTGCTGCGGTACTCGATAAGCTGCTCCTTCTCCTCCTGCAGGACAGAGGACATCATCTGTCAATCACATCCTGTAGTATTCAGTCACACAGTTACAATGGATCAATTGACCGACCCCTTTCAAAGGGTTGATAGTCCATCCATCATTTTGTGAGTAAGTTAGTAATCAATGGCAGTTTAATGAATCAAGCTGTGAGCCCCATTATCAATCACTGTAACTAGTTTAGCTTGATTTTATAGATAACCAATATAGTATAGTTAGATGTTGAAGTTGAAACTATTTTTCCTGAATGGCTAACGGAAGCCATGAGAGGTTATTCTTTGTTTTAGGTCTGGTTTAAAGTGTTTTCTCTATTGTGTTTATGAAATAAAAACATGTGCAAAAAGAGTGTGTTTGTTGTTGTAACACTCCTGTTGGCCACAAGAGGCTTACATGCAGAAATACCCCATGTTCTATATAGGACTAAATCCATTTGCGTTCTCTTCCAATTTAAAATGTTGACCTGATGATGGCGCTTGATGAAAAGTTCATGGATAACCAACATTATTGCAATCCATTTGAAAAGGTATTCATTTTTGTACAAAATGTCATGCAACCCCAACGAATATTTCTCAAGGCATTTTACAAAGAAAATCTAAATAAGGAACCAAAAGAAAAGTATCACCAAAAAGATTAAGATTCATCTTCTAAGAACCATGACAAAAATGAATAGAAATCAATCCGACATTGCTATACTCAACTAATTACTGTATATCTTCTAATAATTATTATGCATTTTTCAACACAATAACCTACCAGTATTAAATCAAACACATTAAGCCAATATTCTCTGTTAAAATATATTGCATGGTCTCCAAATATTGTCAAGCATATTAGCGAGTTGCCCCTGAGAGGAGTGGACTTGCTGATTCAGAAGCTTGTGTTAGCTTGGGCGCTAACCATAAAACATTTAAAAGGTGTGCTCTTCTTCACCCTGACCCAGCAGAGAGGCATTAAGGATTCATTATAGAGAGACCAACAGAGAGACAGGTAGGGAGGTGTGGACAGAAAGAGAGGAATTGAGGGAGGCCTGTGTAAATAACTTATACATTAGACATGCAAACTGAATGTATCACTTAGATGGCAGTTGCTGTAGTCAGCTCTACTGCAACAAGTCAAATGACAAGCTCAGAAGAAGCAATTCATATAGAGATACATAATGGAAAGAATGTCAAATTAATTATTACCACAAGAACAAATTGACTAGCAGAGAAGCTTAAATGAAATGCTTATTATTACATTTGGATGGAATTCTGTCTATGTTTCACCTCTCGTTGTTGACAGCAAGCGCTTATTAAATCATACGTGAAGAAGTACTTTAATATCAGTAAACAAAATAACAGGGTGCAAATAAAGGGTCCAATAAAAAGGGCAAACAGCATCCCCTAAACTCTGCCTGAAAGGTATTGAAACAGCCGATTGAATATCCTCTCTGTTCCAGATATCATGAACGTCAAACAAAAGGTTCTGCTGTTTGTTTTCTGGTATGATTCAGAAGCAGTGTTTAGGATTAGCTTCACCTTCACAGGGCATAATGGAGCACAGGAAACTGATTAACACACACAGATGTTAACACCATTAGATAGCATTTGGAAATAGACACATACTGCACCTAACAATGCTGGCTGCACACATGTCTGTGAAAAGAGCAGCTGCTCGTGACACACAAGCTCACTACTCTGGCCTTGGATCATTCTCCACACTAACTCTGCCATCTGCTTGAAGTCCAGTGTGTGCGTGTGCGTGTGTGTGTGTGTGTGTGTGTGTGTGTGTGTGTGTGTGTGTGTGTGTGTGTGTGTGTGTGTGTGTGTATGTGTGTGTGTGTGTGTGTTCGTGTGTGTCCGTGTGTGTGTGTGCGTGGAAGGTGTGAAGGTGGCAGTCTCACAAATGTTCCACAGGGAGGTGACTCAGCGACTGCATTCTCTAACTCAGAGATAGCTTCTCCCCATCATGTGGCTGCCTGAGGCCGAGCACAAGTCAGGAGGACAGCGGTGGGCCAACAGGACTTCTTTACTTTCATTTTTTCATATACATGTATTTATAAAGTTTTAATACAGCCATATGACTCATGTTCAAGCCTCCATCCAGGATTATTTTGCATTTTTCCTGTATAGGTTTGGGTCGTGCAGCATGGCTTCTAAACCTTACTTTACACAGTGAGCTTAACGCTAAACGAGGGGGCATGGACTACGGTATCCAAACTGCAAAGTACATTTTTTCTTCACTTGTCAGCTTTCTGCCATTGAGTATATAGTCAAGTGCCTTGCTCGAGGGCAATGGCATTACTTAGAAAAGGTGTTCTGAGGGAGAATAATCAATGATCCAATATCATTGATAGAAATTAAGTAGGTCAGTATCAATACATCGTCATTAACGGTAATAAAATACGCCTCCAAGCACACTTCCTTTTTTGACATTTAAATATGTCCCAAACATAAGAAATCTAGCCTCCTAAAGTGAACAATGGGATGTCCATTTATTTATTCTTTCTAGTTAAAACAATAGATTGTTTTTAATTTAAAAAAACTGAAGGGGAATAGATACCATTGAGTCCTGCAGCAGGTCTTCCAGCTTGCTCAGTCTGCTGTTCTTGTCACAGGTGTACTGCCTCTTGATGGTTTCCTGCAGCTGGCGCAGGTACGACTCACAGTCCCGAGCATCACTCGTAAACTGACGAGACAGAACAATGTTAGAAGGATTTCCCCAGCAAGCTGCAGAGAACAGTATTTATTTTGTGAAATGGGTACCACTATGTAAAGACACAAATGAACAGACATGTAATTCGCTAAAAGAATGGTAAAGGGAGGACAAAATCATGTGGATTTGGTGAAAGGAACTGTGAAATTGCAGGAGCAACATAACCATGCAGAATCTGCCGATCCACTTATATTTTGTAACTTAATAGTTCAGTTTCTACCCATAAGCCAAACTAATGATGACAAATAATGATCCATAATAATGACATTTGGAGGCTCACCTGGAAGTATGCTGTGTTGTCTTTGAGATGCGTCTCCACACACACACACAGCTGCTTCACCCACTGCCACTGAGTCTGCAGCGCTGCACTGTACGCCTGATCACATGCAGACAGAACAGCCAGTGTATTCAGTACACATTATTAACAGGGATGTTTTCAGCACACATAATCACAGTTTCTTCTGTCCTGTGTTCCCTTTATCTGTGCAATAATACCCTGTGTTGGGGAATACGCCATGTCAATATATATTGCCCACTGCTCCTAGTACTAGGATGGGTTAAATGCAGAGGTTACACTGTGTGCATGTACTGTATGTGTGACCATTAAAGAGGGTTCCATTCTCCAATTCTATTCTATATAACCAGCAGGAAAACAGATCATTGCTATGGTTATTCAAGTATTCATATATCACATCATCGCTTCAATTCAGCTTTTCCATTGGAGTTGACAACATTCCCTACTGTTTTAACAAAAAGTTTAAAAAAAGGTCACAATTGACATCCCGCCCTTTAGAATCGAATCTACATTTATAGACTGTTAAAAATGCGACAAAAACAACATTTGGTGGACAGTTGAGTCAAAAGAGAAGCATCTTTTCAGAAGCATGTTGGTGAGCTGTTCCCTCCAATGAGCCACAGAGGCAGTCATCTCTAAAGGTCATGGGGTCTCTCTGAATACAGTCATGGCTCACCTCCACACTCTGTTTGGCCGGATGGTTCTCCTGACACAGACGGTTGGCGGTTTCCTGGAGCGACCGCATCACGTCTTGTTTTTCGTCCAGCTCTAACCTCATTTCCTGTAAACAGAGCAGGAAGAGACGGATGGTACAGTAGATTACAGGATCTGTGTGGCTGCGACATGATGTCAAACTACTGTGTAAACATGTAAACAGTACTGATACATTCATATATCTGTGGAATCGGCTTCCAGTTTGTAGAGACATCCTCTCCATTTATGAGGATAGGCTTAAAACGTTCCTCTCTGATAAAGCTTATATTTAGGTCTGGCTCAGGCTTCCAACGAACCAGACCCTATTTTCGATACTAAAGGCTTAGACTGTCGAGGGACTTTCATCTCTCTTCTCCTACTTCTCTTTTTATTAGGCATGAACTGATGGCGTCAGAGCAACAAAAAAAACACCTACCTGAAAGTCCGAGACAAACACAAAAAAAGTAATTCAAAAACAATGGAATTGAATCAATGGAAATGTAATGCTATCATCAAAACATGGCGAGTAATAATGGATTATGACAAACAAAGAGGATCAAACGTAACCACTGTCTGCTGGAAGTATTTTTAGGATTTTGTGGACATTCAAACATTACTATATTACAACAAATCAACTAACAGCAAAACATCGGATGACAAATCTGACATCCCTACTTTCATGTATGCAATCATGTCTCATACATGTGACTAACTCAGCCTCAGGGGCATCATCCCCAGAGTTTGAGTGTCTCTCTCCTGGCAGGTTGCCAGTAGTAAAGGTTAATAATACGCCTACATTATTTTTATTTGGAAGTACCTTGAAGATTGTTGACATCCTGCAGGATCCTATTTTTTTTAAAATAAATATATACGTTCACAATACAGTATAATTTGTATCCTTTAGGTTGTCCAAGTTGTTGTTGAATTATCAATTGTACTCTATACACACGACATCTATTGAGCGTCTGTCAGTCCTAGGAAAGGGATCCAGCCTCTTTGATTTCTTCCTTTTTTGGGGATTGCTTTTCTTGCCTGCTGTGGTGGTCTAAGGGCAGATGGTGTAGAGTGCTGTACACACTGTAAAGCGCCGCGGTCCCCCCCCCCCAAGACAAACGTGTCAATTGTGATATTAGGTTATATAAATAAAATGATATGTAGGAATCATGGAGATACTTATTTTATGTAGTAACTGGGAAGGTAGCTTTTATGGGTGTTTTTTATTCAAATAAAACACATCTAGTTCATTTTGTGTATTCTGATTTGACAGAAAGCCCCCCCCCCACTCACGCTGTATAATTCCCTCTTGGCGTTCATGTTGCTGTTGTTGTCGCTCCAGTCGAAGGCGATCTCCTCCTCCTCCCTCTCGTTGAGCCAGATCAGCTCCTCAGTGCAGTGCGACACAAACGCATGCAGGCTCTCCAAGCTCCGCAGGCGCCATGACGAATGTTCCTATGGCAACCACACAAACAAGCATCATCATCATCATCATCATCATGTTGATCAGCAGTGCAGCAGAGAGACATTTAAAAATAAAAACATCCTCTATTGCCTAGTGGGTGGGTTTGTACTGCTGGTTTACTAGATTTAGAATAAAGCATTGTGAAGACAATCTTTAAAAACAATTATATATATTTTTTTTTAAAGGTATAAAATGAGAATTAATAGGACCGTTAATTATGAGCTTTAATAACAAGCTTTAACCTTTTAGAGAGGCATTGTTCCCTAACATGTCATTTAAAAATATATATATTGGTACATGATATTGCTTGCAGTTGTAGAAATCACTGATATTCTACTTATATGAGGTCATAGTATCATAATCTGCTCATTTACATTAGAGACTTGAAATTAAACATTTAAGAAAAATGTATTTAAATCTATAAGTAAACCTCATAAGCAAGTGTGCTTTATTGTTCAACATTACACATGTAACACCAAAAATATAGAAGGAACAAAGAAACCAAAACTGAGAAAGGGGGCATTTGGGGTAAGGGGCATGAAGAGAGCAGATGCATAACTGTTCTGTATTAGCATATGAGTCCTGTCATGGTATAATGGGATTAACAGGAGAAGGGGGGGAACTGGGAAACAAAGAAGTGTGTTACCACAAAAAAAAGACTCAGATTCACAGCTCTTTATCTGGGACTCACCAGCAGTTTGCAGTATTGGTGCTCTAGCTTGGCCAGGGTTTCAGAGTAACTGCTCTTGAAGTTTGGAGACACTTTAGCCTGCCGGAGAGAACGGTAAAGAATGTCAGGAAACAAATGCAAGACAAAAGATCTCTGTGTCCATGAATAAGTGATGTGTACATATGTGTATGTGTGTGTGTGTGTGTGTGTGTGTGTGTGTGTGTGTGTGTGTGTGTGTGTGTGTGTGTGTGTTCGGGCTGGTTTCGGGCTGGGTTTCGCTGTCTCAGAGACGGCCTCTGGGCTCACAGGAAGGGGGGAGCAGGAGCTCCAACAAGCCGTGTAGGACAGAGAGTGAATACACATACTATACAGAGATGCTGTATGAGAAACCAATTTGAGTTTGGAAAATTGAACAATGTAAGTCTATTCTAGTAGACCTCAACAATGGAATTATGATCAGTAGAAATGGCCATGACAAGGGACCTTTAAATGATAAACATTTATTTTATTATATGTATTTTATCAAAATGTTTCCAATTTCATTTTTTAAAATGAAATTGTTAATGAAGGAATCTCATTTAACTGCTAAAATAGGATTTTTTGTTTTACGGCTTTTCAAACAGTAACTAAAATGTATTTCATTATATACAAATATTTTTAAAATAATTGTCTCCCTAACATGTTTGGATTTGCTGCATTTTTCTATTTTCTATTATAAAATGAAAACGTATTGTTGAAAAATCATACTGAGCATTTGTTTGACTATTTCTTGACAAATATATAGACTAAATTGAATAATCAAGAATAAAATCAGGTTAACATTGAGAAAACCACTCCTCGTGTCCCTAAACTGTTCTTGTATTGACGGACCTGCGTCTCCTCCACCCATCCCAGCAGCTCGTAGATGAACCTCAGGCTTCCTTCGTCCTCCGATGAAGACATGGCCACCAGCTGGGAGCGAGCGATGGGTCGCCGCAGGAGCGCGGCACCGACAGCTCCCACGGCCCCCAGCAGCGTCTGCCCCAGCGTCAGGCCCCCGTCTGAGGCCCTCTGCTGCTCGGCCCCCGTGGGGCCCAGGCTCTGGGTGAAGTTGCCCTTCCTGTAGAGGCTGGAGCACTGCAGTCTGAGAGAGACCAGCTCCTCCTGAAGGCAAGACGCTCTGAGGATGAGAGAATACAAAATATAGTTACAGGAGGGGACACGGCTACATACTTTTTAATACCATTTTATCACTGGCTGCATCTTCACTACTTTTAAATATGTTCTTTCTCTGATCGTGCTGCCGTGTGTACTTTATTTTATTCATGCATGCAACATTTTACTTATCTACTTATTTTATTCTGCCTGTTTTTGGCACTATCCCCCGTTGATGTATGTACATTTCTCCACTGTGGGGCAAATAAAGCACTTCTGATTCTGATATCCAATATTCCTTTCTCTGAGATGATTATTTATTCATAAAGTCATTTAAAGCAGCAACTTCACTTAAAGTCTCCTTTGAAAAGCCAGAAATGTGTTTAAATAAAAAAACAGAATGTTGGTTTCCTGTAATGTTTTTTGGCTAAATGTTCTAGGAAATAGGGTCAAATAATACAATTTCAACTTTACTTGGAATTATATTGAATGAAAGGAAACTACACAGAAAAAAAGATTGCAGCCTAAAACTCACGAAGCCACAGCATGAGGTTTCTATTTCATCTTTCTCTTTCATATGTCATTTATATCAGAGCACATTCAAACAGTTAACAGCAGATGCTTATAGTTAAAATACCTCGATATCAATGTTGCAACAATATTGTAGTGTTATCTATTGCTGCTTTTAAAAAATATTAACACAATGACATTTTTGTAAATAATCATCATTTATGTGGATTTAATGGCTAAGTGGGTAAAGGTAATTCAAAACACAGTTATAGCCTCAAAACATATTCATATCCAAATTCACAGCTTTATTCTAGTCCCATATCCCAATATCAAGATTACATAGATATATCTCCCAGCCCTAGATGGAACACACTAACTATGGCAGACGATTATAGGACTTAATGGCAAAACACAATTTGCATATCCTATTTCAAACTAATTAACCAAAGGCCCACTTTGATTGTTGCACCCTTCAGTCATTCATTGTTTGAGTAGATGAACCACTGCACCCACCTGAACACCAGCTGCTCCACCTGGTAGTACTTCTCCTCCCTCAGGACTTTGAGCTCCTGGTTGAGTTGTCTGATGAGAGACTCGCAGTCCTGCAGGTAGCAGGCCAGCTCCCTCTCACACTGCACCCCCTCCCCACTCTCCACCCGCGACATGTCCTGCACACAGAGCACATGGTATGATTAGATAAGATTTACTTTATTTATCCCAATTTGAGTACTTTGTTTCTTCACAGCAGCGAGTTAAAACAAGGCATTGCACATCATGTGAAAAAATCTAAAGTAGAAAATAAACACAAAATATAAACATCCCTAAATAGAAAATAAAGTGATGTTGGCAGTGAAAGATAAAATTTGTAGACTATCTGAAGTGGGATATTATTTACATTAAAGGTAGGGTAGATAATTTTGAGGAAACCAGCTCGAGTGCGCTACAATTTGAAATTACACAGCCGGAAGAAATCTGCTACTTCCTTACAGAGCCCCTCCTCCAACACACTCGAACGCGCACATGACCAATGAGGGCACGAGAATAACTGGATGGCCTACCTGCCTGTCAGCCTTCCATCTGTGCACAAACTTACCTCGTGCCCTCATTGGTCATGTGCGCGTTCGAGTGTGTTGGAGGAGGGGCTCTGTAAGGAAGTAGCAGATTTCTTCCGGCTGTGTAATTTCAAATTGTAGNCGCATTATTTTGACCCACAGTGGGAACTTCAGTCTCATGCTTTGACTGAAGATGAAGACAGAGGAGTGGCATTTCGCCGACAACTGTAAACAGGCTTGTCTGTTTGCAAAGAGGTAGACTAAGAGAGAGTGTAAGAGAGAGAGAGAGGTTCCAGGTTGTTGTATTGAAAATATTCAGGAGAATATTTGTCATTGTTCCCAATGATAATAAACAACATTTTGCATAAAAGTATATTTGTCCACTCATATGTTGATAATAGTATTAAAAACTTGAAAAATATTCCTCTAAGGTACATTTAGACCAGATAAAAAATGTGCGATTAACTATGAACATCATGCGATTAATCGCGATTTAAATATTTTTAATCAACTGACAGCCCTAATTTCTACGCTTTTGTATTAATACTTAATACGAACTAAACATATCTGAGGACTTCTCCCTCCGGAGAAGCCGGGAACAATAAACTGCAGAAGCTCACAGCAGAAGATTAAAATAGCTTGAAATGTAAAAAACAAGAAAAAAAGAAGTAACATGTCACCACACTTTTTTAAGTTTGAGAAACCGGCTCGAGATACACTTTTTGTTATATTCCATGGAATGCTCTTATCCCGATAGCAATATAAAGTGCTTTGACAAAAAAATCCCTCCGGTCGAGAGTCCCGGGCT